GGGGTGGAGGGGGGTGGCGTATAGCGGCAGCCACCGCATATCGCCTTCTTCGAAACGGAGGTTTTACAAGGCTGGCGGTGTTGAGATCTCTTAGAAGAATCCACACAATAAAGCAGACGGGCCGGCCGTATAGTTGTTTGTGTGTTTACACAGTTCCGGCTGTAAAACTGCACGCGGGTAGCCCGGCGCCGGCCACCGACCACTGCGCGGTGGCGGCTGCGCGTGTGGGCGGTGGGAAGCGGCAGGGCTGGTGCAGGTGAGAGTGCAATCGCGAGGGGCGTCAGGTGATTTCTTGCACGTGTGGAAGAGGGGGCCTTTCCAATGAGCGCGCGTAGACTTGTGGTAGGCATGGCATGTGTATCCCTTCATACCATCTCATGATCATCCCATCATCCACATTACCACCTAGTGCTTGTGGCGTAGCGTGGTTTGCATGGTTTGTCAGAAACGTTCGAAGTTTTTTTGAGTATAAAACTATTTTCACTAACAATGATTTAAAAAGGAGGGAATGATCTCACGTGTCCAACTGGTTCATTTACAATTATCAATGACTCCTCACAATCTTTCATTCACTGGAAGGAAAAATGCCAAGCACTACTGATCGCGTGCCATAGGAACTGAAGGAAATAAGAGAGTTTTTGTATTCTCCCTAGCATATGCTCAGTAATTAATATATCACTCACACACTTATAATATCGATTAACTGGATGCAAGATGATGGAAGTTCGGCTGTACGAAACTGAGATCATTCTCTTCAAATTTTACTTTTTTTTTACTGGACAAGAATGATGAAAAACGTGGAGGAAATTTTAATAATCGCTGTTTCAATATCTGTTAAAACCTTTTTTTTTCTTTCTTTGAAAAAGAGACCAAAATCAGGTAAGATTAATGAAAAGACAAAAGAAAATTCAATGTGTCCTGCAGAATCATGTTCAATATTGTTTTCAGTATTTTTAATTTATAGTAATTTGCAACCACCTGAACAGGGATTATCACCTAAACATTTCACCGTTGTATGTTGATGTAGAAAAACAAATTTAAATGAATTAAAATCTATGCATTGGAGTAATGTTGATTGTCTGGAGAAAAGAAGCTTTTCAATTGAGGTTTAATTTCGGAACGCACCACCGGAAGACGAGGTGTGCCACAAGGGTCAGATGAACCGCCAAATTTCCTCGGCGCGAGCGCGAGCCCCGGTAGCCTGGCTGGAGAGGCCGGGCGGCGGGTGGTCGGGTGGTCGGGTGGTCGGGGCGCGCAGGGCCGCGTGTGCTGCCGCTCAGGTGCGGCGGAGGCGGAGGCAGCGCAGGAAATTGGTGCAATTATCGCGCATTGGCGCGTGAAGCCCTCGCTCGCTGGGACCGCCCGCCCGCCCCGACGGGCCCACCAACAAAAGTATCGCTGCTGCTAGCTGCTGGCCCATTCCTCCCTCGCCCGAACACTACTGAACTACCTAAAAGGTTTCGACCGTTGCCTGCGGATGTCTACTGCAGGTGCAGACGAATCCAATGTAAGACGTAACAGTGAATCGATTGGTTCAAGACCTTCCAGCTCTTAAAACAGTATCAGTATTCACGCCGGCCGTGAAAGCTTACATTGTTTTATCTGAAAGTCTGCTTAAATTAATATTATTTTAGTGTTGTCTGATCTATCTGAACTTACTCTGAAAATCCCCTTGCGTTGAGGCCCCAATTTCGATGTCTGTATGTTTTATCTGTGCGTATTTACAGTACGTTCTAACCACGCACATGATCAACTCAAATGTAAATTAGTGTGCTCAGAGAATTACTGTTTCTGCCATTACTATACTCTACCTGTACCAAATGCCATGTTTCTTGGCCGCGACCTTATGTGGATCAAAAATCATTGATTTCAAGAAGCAGGAAAACTCTTGGAAAAAATAGTATTTCAGACTTTGAGAACGAATACTCGTTAATAAATTTGGTATTATCATTAATTTTGAACTCTAATAATATCAATCTGTGAAGTGATTCGCAAGGTTTTTCTTTTATTTCTGTGAATGAACATTTACAAATTAACGATACAAATTATATAAATCAGAATATTTATCATTATTATTATTATTATTATTATTTCTATTATTATTATTTTATTTGACTTTATATTAACTATGTATAATACACTATAATTGGTATTTGTATTGATGGATTTTCAATATTCTGTTGCAATTGTTGTATAAGAGGATAGTTTCAAATAAATACTCAGATCTAAACTAAAGGTTCGGGGCGTGGGCAGGGGATAGGGTGAACAGGACTCTGCAGCACAGAGCGCGCCTTACCTTTCAAACTCCGTCAGCCGAGAAGAGTCCCGGAAGCCCTTGGCGAACGGGTTGCTGTCGATCTTCAGCTTGGTGATCTGCGGGACAGAAGAAGCGCATCACGGTCAGTGCTTACGAGACGACGCGAGCTCCAGAAGCAGACGATCACACAGCGGGGCCGCTTCCGGTCTCGGATCCCGAAATCGGGGCGGGCGCGCGGGAAGCGGAAGTGAGCAACGGCGCGACAACGGGGCGACTTCCGTCCGAGGGCCACTCGATGCGGGGCAGACATCGGACGGAAGACTCGCCGTCGGCCGAGGGTCGCGCGTGGAACGCGACGCCGCGCCCCACCTCCACGCCTCCCAATGGGCCCGAGCGCCACGGATGCTTCGAGTTAAGTCATTGCCGGACAGTGTGTAGTGCAGTGAAGTGCGAATGAATCGTTATGTATATAATGAAACAAGTATGATGCGTAAATGAAAAAAATATTAAAAAATGTTACCGAAAAAGAAGCAAGAACAGTTAAGAAAATTTGTTAACAAAAAAAATTGTTTCAAGTTAGGTATGCCGAAGCGCTTACTTATTAATTACACAATTAGATTAAGCTAAAATTAGGATACTTTTAGTTAGTTATTAAAAACAGCCCCGCCCTCTTAGCAACTCAAACCGTAAGGCAGCAGCGTACTGTAAACAAGCTCCTCAGGGCTACTACAGAAGGGAAACCGAAAAAAATGAAAATCAAGCAAAGGAGAACTCTATGTAACCGCGCGAATTTGGGGCCTTGAAATTCGTTCATCATTTTGCATATTTTCTACACGTTTCTCTTCACAACATTGTGTTATTTCTACCCAGAAGTTTTAAATGTCACATCCAACGTGGTATTTGAATCGTGCGACTTGATTAATGAGCATTTATTTCAAAATTCCATTACGAAAAATACAGAGGCAATTTCTTGGAACAATCACTGACGAGATTCTTCCTCGAATAGTGTTATAACACGCGTCAAGAGAAAGTACAAGACGAAAAAAAATGTGCGCTCTCCCTCCACTTAAATCACTATCTGTGGGTGCGCAGGCAACGCAACAATTTCGCGTTGGCTTGTCGGAAGGCGTCGGGGCCAGAGTTCAGCCACTCCCCGCGCGGCGCGCTGCGGCTAGTGGAGGTTCGCGCGGCCCTCGGACGGCTGGGAATCCATCAACCGGGCAGGGCTTCAAAAACTGCCCGCGCCAGCCGGATTCCGCCCGGCCGACGGAGACGTGGCGTGAGATATACACGTTTAGTACTTTGCTTTCCACGTAGCGTGCATCTTTCTGTCAAATACAAACACAAACAACACAATATATCGTCAACAACGGGAATTGCTCTACACCTGTTGTCGTTTCTCCTCTTTCAGCCTCCAGGCAGTCCTCCTCCTCCTCCTTCAGTTCAGGCGTTTTGACCTTCTATAAGTTATCTTGGATTTGCCATGTTATCGTGACTCCCTCATGTCTATGTTTCCAGGCTCTTTCTTGGCGTTCCACTGCAAGACTCGTTTGAGCCATCTGAGCATGACGTGTGCAAGCCTCATCATTTGCTTCTTTTGTATTAGTTTTTCTATATTCATTTCATTCCTGAAATAACGGTATTCTTTTTTCGAGACTGCTGTCTTCACAGCTACGCCAAACCTTTTCTCTGAGACCAAATAATAACGTACTTGGATTTAATTTCTAATGTAAAGCATGCGCACCCGTGGCAGAAATAAAATAAAATCAATTTAAGATGGCTCTTTTTTATAACCGAAATTAAGCCTTAATTTAATCCAAAATTAAGCTTACACTTATAAAATTGATAGAATTGATCAATGCGTTTTGCACTGTGTATAATAAAGAAAAAAATACTGCATAGAAGACCCCTTTTCCTGTTGGCCAATTCTCACAGTATTACGCGCCGAAAGTGTTACTTGCTATTTATTGAGAAAATGTTTATTTTCCGAACATTTTTGGGCGTTAGGCGTTATCTGAAATCTGTCAAATGGCATTAGCTGTTAATAAACATAAAAATATTTTCTAAACATTCAAAGTGCATTATTATCACACATTGTGAAATGAATCATCTTCACATTGCTATGTGAACAATAATCTCTTAAATTATTTCATGACAATGTATTTCCTCAATAAATAGTAAGTTTTGTCATTATCGCTTGATAGCTTTGCGCATTTTAGACTTCTATTGGAAATTTATGGTTTTAGCTAGTTTATGAGACCTGCATTTTGGACTTAGTGTAATACTTAAGCATACATTTTAAAATATATTCTTTCTATAGAAGGCCATTTACTTTAAGGATAACAAATTTACAAGAGACTAAAGAGTCTTTTAATATTTTTAAATGTTTACAAAGTAAATTCATAATTTATATTATCTCCCAAATGCCACTTTGTACATAAAAAGACCCTCAATGCCTTGAGTGCAAATCGATCAGTCAATGTACAATTTTGAGAAAATACGTTTTTAAAGATGGTTTAGGTGCTAGTTACATCTAGAGACAGTCAATTTGGAAGAAAGCATATCTTTTTCGGTATCCCGGGCTCACAAAACCGTGTATTTTCTTCACGATTTCGAAGTTGATTCTTTGCAGCATTGCGATGCATTCTCTAAGAGTACATTAAGATAGCAAGTTACGCAACAAACGCGCGTGTATTGCATCCACTATTTTTAACCCACCGTATGCTAAAGATATTTCGCACACACACACTTCCGATCTTTCTCGCTCACTTACCAATATTTTGCACTGTTAGTTAAAACGACAAAAAAGTAGCTGTTTCACACATGAAAAACAAGCGCGAGAAATCGTGTTTCGCGCACGCCGAGTTAAAAACAAATTTGCGTTATAATTACTCTGCGACTGTTAGCCAGAGGTACAATCCTTGACGGCAAAGTTTTGTGCATCCCGTTAGTGGCGCGTGGGTGCGGCGAGGCTGGCGGGGCAAGGGGGGGGCGAGGGGCGGCGCCCCACCTGCACGGGCGCCGCTCCACATCCGTCACCGGGCGGGGAACAGACAGCGACACGCCGGCGCCGGGTGGGCTCAATTACGCCGGACAGAAGGGGAGTGTCAATAACTTTAGCCGCACATTGTTTAAGCGCGAGCGGGCGAGGGCAGCCGGCGACGCGGTAGTGGACGGACGGGAAGGAAAGGAGCAGGGATAGGACGACGGAGTGACGGGAGAGAGAGGAACGGACAGAAGTGGTGGAGACGTGCGGCGAAGGTAAAGGAGGCGACGGGACGGGACGGAGTGGGAGGAACGGGAAGGACAGGCCGCGATGAGGTGGATGGGGGATTGGGACGACCGGACGGAGAGAGGACGGGTATGGTGGGACGGGGCCGTAGTGCGGATGAACGGGATTGCAAGGACAGGACTGGAACAACAAGAGCGCCGCATGGCGGCGGAGGGGACGAGGAACGAAGACGGGAGAGAGGACCGGCGTGGGCGAGTGGAGCGAATGGGATGGCCAGGACGAGTTTTGGAAGAAGGCGATAGTGTAAAGATAAAAGCTAGGAATTATAGTGCAAGAATAAGATCTAGATGAAATAATTGGAGAAGGGGAAATATCCAACGAATTTTTTCGATTTACCAATCTGACAGAGACAAATAAAAAAAAACATTTACACTTTTCGTAATAACAAAATATGAGCAGAACTTTTTACCATGCTATTGAGAGTACGATTGTGATCAAATACCGAGCTTCAATGTATGTGTGTCAGTGAATATTCAGTCGAGCGAACCATTAAAAAAATTCAAGGATTTCCTGTAATTGCGCACGTCCACTGTAAGGCCACGCCTACGAAGGGCCAGGCTGGCGAGAGGTTCAAAGCCCAAGAATCAATGATGGACTGCAATGACTTCTGGCGGAGTCCTAGGTGGAGTCGCGATCATCAGTAGGTTTTTAACACTAGCTTGCTGGTTAGGAACATTCGTGCAGCTGTCTGTGAGGATAATTCTAACGCCGGTCATGCTGCTGATCAGGAACACTTTCGCCGGTTTCTCCGAATCAACACCAGGCGAATGCCGAGCAGTACCCTATCAAACGGCCACGGACGCGCGCGTTGTTTTCCTACCCATCCCTACTTAACCACACTTACATGCACTCACTCATACACTTGCCGGAGAGACCAGTCGGGAGAGCGGTCGGCGCACGGTTCACGTCATCCAGACGGGGCATAGTCACCGCCGACTCCCAGACAAATAGGCCATAGCATACATTACGGCACTAATGACCCTCATCATCTGACGCGGGCCGGAATCGCTGGGAAAATCAAATCAATCAATCACACGAGACTGTAGAACCCAGAACCGCATCGGCATCGCAGGGGCGGAGGGGGGCCGGGAGCGCTCTGCGGGTCTGCAAGCGGGCTGCCGGAATGCCTGGACACGCGGCCCCCCCAGCGCCAAAGCACGGGGGCCGGGGGGGGCGGAGGGGGGCATTACCGCGCTGCAACACCCTGCCGGCGCCGCGAGACATGGCGACGGAGAGAGGCCTCGGAGGGGGCCCCGGAGCACCCTTCACGTGTCACCTCCGTCAGTCCGTCCGTCCGCCGCTGCAGCGAACCGCACGTCTCTCACACCCTTCCTTCCTCCTCGCCGCGCGTCCTGTCTCATTTAAAAACTATTATTTATGTTTGCTTTGGCGCCCGCCGCCAACCTTTTTGCCTTCCTCTTCCTCCTCCTGGCACGGAGACGCGGCGCGGAGGAGCGAAAGAGACGACCAGAGAGACCGAGAAAGAGAGAGAGAGGGATGAAGTAAAAAATAAAAATAAAAAAAAGCGACCGCGCGTCGCAGCCGTGGCGGGAGAGATGAACACGATGATGTGACGAAAACAAAGTGACAGAAAAAGAGTAAATAACAGTCACTTTGAAAATGAGAAACAACTGAAGAGGATACAAGTTGTTTTTTTCGTTCCGGGAACACGCGAAGATGGCTGTCTCTGCCCCGCCAACACACGCGCGCCCTGCGCCGGCCCGCGGGACTAAAAGTGACGCGCAGACGTGTGGAGGTGAGCGGAGGCTGGCTGTTATTAATGTTGCGCCTCGCGCTTTCCACTCGTGCGAGTAGCGCCTTACGTTACGAAGTACAGAATCTTCTGCGGCATCGACACGCAACTTTTTACTGCAACTTGGAGTAATTTGTTAAGTTTA